TGTTTCTCTGTGGCATACATCCTTCATCATTTCTCCTAATATGTGATCCATCAGTGCCTGAACCTCCCACTGAGTGTCAGCATCTTTATGCATAGGTGACTGACTGTGAAACGGTCTGGTCAGCCTCTGAATCACATCGGCTGTCATCTACCAAACACAAGTCCAAATAAGCCCACAACCAGTTTAGCAAACAATATAAAACATACCTCGACTACTTAGAACTACGTTAACACCAAACTAATAGAGCAACAGTATTGGTGCTAATTCAAAGAATCATATTGCATACATTGCTTCCAATTTTTATAAATGTCCTGTGCTAGAAGTGATTTTCATCACTGGTAGCACAGGACATTTGTAAAAATATTTATTGATATATCAATCAATAAATATACAGAGAGAACAAACTTAAAAGACAGTTGGCTTTATGTGAGTTAGCATTACCTTGCGTAGCAATTAAACATGCTTTAACTTTCCTGTGTCTGCTAACCTCTTGACACGTCTCCTTGGAAACTTTTTTGGGACATCGTAGCCCAGCTACTTTTCTGGTATCAGGTGGTCTTCTGTAGGTCTTGTGTCCATGAAATGAATAGGATATTCAGCCACGATATGCAGGATTCTTTCTGCCAAGTCAGACACCGTATTCTTAGGAAAACAGAGTATTTTGGTGTTCTTACTGCACATGCTTCTTACATCGTTTAGAGCAGAATCACCCACAGTCAGAGTTTGAGGCCCAGTCGTTAGCTTTCCCTGCAGACTTTTACTTTCTGATTTACTCTCAGTCCTTACCCTTCTGTGTGAGGATGGGATGTTATCCAGGTCATCAGACGGAGATCCAGGGTCCTGCAATAGTGGTGAAAATCTGTTCTGCTGTTGCACACTCGGTTGTTGGGGAGGTTTGTTGCTAACTGTCCCTTTTGAAGCTGTCCATGGCTGTGTCCTACTAAGAACAGGGGTTGAAGAGGCACTCTGCCTGGATGATAATGCAGGCAAGCCAGTCGCATCACAAATCTCCGGGAGCTGGGTTCTGCCTGTTACTTGTCTTCTCATTTCCTAAGGAAATGATTTACTTTTAGGCTTTGCACCAAGAGAGTTCCAGGGAGGACTACAACTTTCAGATTTATTACTCAGTACACAGGCCTCCTGCTTCTTGGTGCTAATTAGCTGTGTGTTAGCAGGTTCTTGTCCACTGTTTTGGGTCCATGGTAAAGTAGTGTCATTCCCACATAGTCCATTCATTTCCACATTCACTTCTAACCTGTGGATCTTGGTTTCCAGCACTGTAATTTTCTGTAGAAGTTTGTGGAAGTCGTCCGTGGAGAAGGGGGGCATCTTGTTGCTAATTAGCATTAGCTGTAACTCCAGTCACTGCAGTACAGGCTAGTGCTATTGATAGGCCGCACTCACGTAGCACTAAGATCATAAAAGTGTTTAAAGTATGGCAATAGCCTACTTTTTCTTAATAGAGGACAGTCCCAGTGATTTAAAAGTTTCTAAGATACTTATCATATCACTCATGGGAAGAGTCGCCACCATAAAAATGATGGTCCTATCCAAAATCAATTACCTGTTACCCAACCCTCTGCTGTCTGGTTTATGTCAGTGGACTCAAACATCTCTCAGTTCTTCTGGAAAATAAACCCCCACGAATCAGTTTAAAAACTCTACAAAAAGGAAAAGATTGTGGTGGTTAAGAACTATCAAATTTTGCCCATTACTTCCAGGCCAACAGAACTACAATTTACACTATATTGTGGAAGGTTTTGGGTCGCCTGCCTTTACATGCACATGAAGGGTAATGACATCCCATTTTTAATCTGAAGGGTTTAATATGGAGTTGGCCCACACTTTACAGCTTCAACTCTTCTGGGAAGGCTGTCCACAAGGTTTAGGAGTGTGGTCATAGGCAATTTTGACCATTATTCTAGAAGCGCATTTGTGAGGTCATGCACAGAAGTTGGAGTAGAAGGCCTGGCTTGCAGTCTCCACTCTAATTCATCCCAAGGGTGTTTTATCAGGTTGAGGTCAGCACTGGGTTGTACCAACTATGTGTAAGTTCAAAACATAGATTTTGAAATATGAGGGGGATAATGGCTCCTACGCGTATATAAGTTATAATGTTACAATTTCATCTGCCCGTTATACTTTACTGTTCGTTACGTGCACCGTTAAATTACGTCTATGTTGTAGATAACAGTTTTACCACTCAGTGTCACTGTGAGACTAGGTGCGATACGCTGCAGGTGGTAAAGAGCCAGGACCGGACACGCCCACACACACACAGACAGGACATGACAAACAAGACTGACAGAGACAGCAGGGGAGGGAAAACTGGGAAAACACTAGGAGGTGAGAGGAGGCTAGGCCTAATCATGACATATGGACCTTGCTTTGTGAACTGGTGCTATATCATGTTGGAACAGGAAGGGGCCATCACCAAACTGTTTCCACAAAGTTGGCAGCATGAAATTGTCTTGGTATGCTGAAGCATTAAAGTTCCTTTCTTTCACTGGAACTAAGGGGCCAAGCCCAACCCCTGAAAAACAACCCCACACCATAATCCCCCCTCCACCAAACTTTACACTTGGCACAATGCAGTTAGTCAAGTACCATTCTCCTGGCAACCGCCAAACCCAGATTTGTCCTTTGGCGACAGAGAAGCGTGATTCGTCACTCCAGAGAACACATCTCCACTGCTCTAGTGTCCAGTGGTGGCGTGCTTTACACCACTGCATCTGACGCAGCTGGTCAGCCATGGAAACCATTCAGTTAAGCTCTCTATGCACTGTTCTAGAGCTAATCCAAAGGCTACACGACATTTGGAGGTCTGTAGCTATTGACTCTGCAGAAAGTTGGCGGCTTCTGCGCACTGTACGCCTCAGCATGCGCTGACCTCACTCTGTGATTTTATGTGGCCTACCATTTTGTGGCTGAGTTTGTGTGGTTCCCAATTGCTTCCACTCTGTTATAATACCACTAACAGTTGACCATGGAAAATTTAGTAGTGAGGAAATTTCACAAATGGACTGCACAGGTGGCAACCTGTCACAGTACCACGCTTGAATTCACTGAGCTCCTGAGAGCAACCCACTCTTTCACAAATGTTTATAGAAGCAGTCTGCAGCCTAGGTGCTTGATTTTATACACCTGTGGCGATGGAAGTGATTGGAACACCTGAATTCAGTTATTCTGAGGGGTGTCCTAAAACGTTTGGTAATATAGTATATCTCAAAATGGATCAATCAGAGCCCACTGGACCACTTATGGATGAACATAAAACAAACTAAAATTTGTGATATGCCACTCATCAGTCCCAGTATCAAACATCATACCTGCTTTAAAAGCATTAGAATAAGCACTTCCCTGGCAGCCTGGTGGGAATTTCTCAAAATATCTAGGTCTTCACCTATCCCATGCAGACTTACTCCAATCTGGAACAATCCTGACATCTTCCTAAATAAGAAAACGTTAAATTCCCCACTGTGGTACGATAAAGGGATAAAATGTCTAGAGCATGTATCCAGGGCAGTTACTTTATTCCATTCCAGGATCTAGTGGCACAATATAGAATTAGCAATAATACATTTCTTGAAAATCAACAGTTTAAATCCATAATTCGGGCGATATTTAAGTATAACAAAACGGACTTAGATCTACCTCCAGTGATAATTGACTTTCTTAAACTCTAGCCCCCAAAGCTATTGTCAAATATAAACATGTTACTGTTGAAAACAGATGGTTCAGTCTCTCTCCCATTCTTAAAGTGGAAGATCTATCCATTAGTCCAGACTAAAACCACTGGACACAAATATGTTTAAATACTTTTAGAATGACTAAAAATCCCAGTCTACAACTCATACAGTATAAAACTCTCCACATAACACACTATACATGACAAAGGTTGTTCAGAATGGGACTTATGCAGTCAAACATGTGCCTGAACTGCTCAAGTAACATCTGTTATAGTTACATGCATGCTATGTGGCGATGTGCACCTTTCCAAAAGTTCTGGCAGAAGATATGTGAAGACCTATCAATTTGGCTACATTACTCTATCCCAATTTCTGGTGGACCTAAACAACGTTAGCATAAAGGTTGAGAAATCATACATGCTTCTCACTGCTCTATGCATCGCCAAGAAAACTATCCTCATGAACTGTAAGGCCAAAAAGAACTTAAGTATCACCAAATATAGTAATCTCCTGTTAGGCCACATTAGCATGGAGAGAGTGTCTGCTTCCAAAGAAAAAAACAATTGGCAGAATTCCATTCTTTGTGGTCCCCCTTGATCAATTCTGCGGCAGTGAGTGGTCCCATGCATTGCCTTGCTGCTCTGGGTCCCGTGCGGCTGGTAGGTGGGTCCTAGTGGCTGGGTGCGTCTGGTGGCCTCCTGGAAGTTGGAGGGCTGTTGCTGCTGTCACAGCGTGGCTGCTATCCTTCTCCTTTTGGGGACGGCGGGGGTTTGTGTGTGGGGTGCTGCCTCACTGGGGGGGTGGGTGTAATGTTTGTTTATGGTTAGGATCAGGTCATATCAGCAGCCAGCTCAGACCATTACGAAATTTACATTTTACATTACATTTGCATTTAGCTGACGGTTTTATCCAAAGCGACTTACAATTGTTATTCATGTCAGAGGTCGCACGCCTCTGGAGCAACTAGGGGTCTTGCTCAGGGACACAATGGTTGATGTGTCACAGTGGGAATCGGATACGGGTCTCCAAAGGCACCAAAGGCATGTGTCGTATCCACTGCCCCATCACCAACCTATATGAATGGCATCATCATATGGGCTTTATAGAAAGAAGAATTAACTAAATAGATAATTTGATTGCCTTCATTGCCTCTCTGTTGCACAGATGATTGTTAATATTTAAGACCGATGCATGTATGCATGTAAGTGTGTGTGTGTATGTGTGTTGGCATAGTCTGAATGGTAGATGTTGCTGTGAATGTGCTCATATATCCGTGTTTGTCTTTCTCTCTCTCTTTCTCTCTCTCTGCAGAGACAGGACAGCAGGGAGGTGTTGGTGGGCATGTTGCTTCTGGTGTTTCCCTTCATTCCTGCCAGTAACCTCTTCTTCAGGGTGGGATTTGTTGTGGCCGAGAGGGTTCTTTACATGCCAAGGTGAGCCGTGTGTGTGGGGGGGGGGTAAGTGAATGTGTGCATGTACTTGCACTGATACTTCCACTCTTCAATAAAGAGTAAGTTAAAATAATTTGAAATATATGGTTGGTCTTTTTAGTTAGGTTTATTAGTCAACTTTTCAACAAAACTTAAGGGGTTTTGCTCCATCGTATTTGTAGGCCCTGATCACACCGGATACACATTGTGTAATACATTAATCACTTTTTAAGTCACTTTATCTCAGATTACCACTTTAAGATCTGTTTTTCTTAGAACAAGAAAAGAGAGCATGTTCAAGAAAGGATGGACAGCTAGTTTTCAAACTTTGGTTGCCCCCTATTCATGGTTTTCTGGGCTGTCCCAAGCAAAAGTTGTCCACCGACAGCCAGTTTTGAGTTGGGCCAACCAAAGACAGCGGCGTGAAAATTCGGGGGAACCAAAAATCCTGCAATCGTCAGTCACTTGTGCTCACTTTTTAATGTTTTTTTTGGTCCTTAAACATAAAGCAAAGTGATCCAAAATGGCGGTGATCCCGCAAAGCTTAGGGGTCCAGTGTGTAGTTTTTGGGAGGATCTATTGACAGAAATTCAATATAAGGATATATAATATAATAAGGATTATAATATCCATAACCATGTTTTCAGTGTTGTATAAAGACCTTCCATAATGAACCGTTATGTTTTTATTAGCTTAGAATCAGGCCGTCCCCAGAAGGTTGTGCCGACCCTTATTAACCCTGATCAAACTGGCTTTATTCCTGGTAGGCATTCGTTTTCTAATACCAGGAGGTTGTTAAATGTCATTTTATCAGAGGTGGGACCAAGTCATCGTTAAGTCCAAGTCAAGTCTCAAGTCTTAGCACTCAAGTCCCAAGTCGAATCCCAAGGCCAGACCGATGATGACTGGCAAGTCCGAGTCAAGTCTCAAGTCAAGGACCAACAAGTCCTAGTCAAGTCCAAGTCAAGTCCAAGTCTTAAACTTTGAGTTTCGAGTCCTAAAGAAGTCATAATGCGCTCTTCACCAAATTTAAAAACCATTTCAAAAGTTTTTATAAATTAAAAAATTTATTGAATGAAGCATGTACAGAAAGAAGGTAAAGGTGCAGTTTCACACAACAGATGTGATTCATGTAATTTCATGAATTAAATTAAATGTTCATGTAGGGCTGCTAATTATTTTGGTCAATATTGAGATCACAATTATTTAACAGGATTACTCATTGCCTTAGGAAACATTAAACTATTGAACTTCTAAAATGTAATACTTTATTCTTAAAAACTATTATATGCATTACTCCAAAATCTCATATAGCCCATGAAATAAGAAACAATAATCCAACATTATTAACTTTGCAGCATCTACAGTACAAGAGGTAGCAGCACAGTTTCAGCTTTGGGTGACAGATGGGTCACTGAGGGGGCTCTGTGTGTGTATGTTTGTGTAGGTGTGTGTGTGTGTGTGTGTACACAGAGGGGAGCAGAGCAGGTGACAGGTGAGCTACTCGAGTTGACAAAGTTACGTTACAGAACACTGAAATACAACCGTGGTGTTTTTTCGGGAGATGCAGTGACAGAAACCAGCGGTGAGAAAACTATAAATTGCTATGACGTTAGAAGATGCAGACACGGTGGATATTTTACAAGCACCGATCAGGTAAAGCAACACTGAACACACCTTTTAGGTAGGGCCTCAGCTGTAAAGGAAAGAGGTGCGCTGGATTTATAAAACAAAACAAGTGTCATTGTGAAACAGCACCCAGCGCTATTATAGTTTTATCTTAATTAACTTGTTTTATAATTGGTGGAAGCAGCTTCACACAACAGCTGCAGCAGTCTCTCTACACGTTTTCGACCTGACCTTTCTTTTCTCCGTGAGATGGAGGAATTTAGAAAGTTGTGTGGCGCTGCAGCTGTTGTGCATGATTTATGCGTAAAATTCATCCAGCCAGAGGGTCCGATCACAAACAGTTCACAGCGCGCTGGTAGTAGGCCTACTACACAACCCACTGAAGGTACCGGAGAGGGAGTGGGTTGCTGGGGTGTACAGGGCCAGAGACAAGAGATTGCAGTGCGGCCGGCCGCTCTTCGGACGGTCGGTGATTGTTCCCTCTTGCTGGAGGAAGCCACATCTAATTGAGCACCGCCACCTATGTTGATGCGCTGCACAATTTTTTATAATTATCATAATTTATAGTTGGGCATGGGGAGTGGCAAGTCATCTCAAGTCAAAAGGCTCAAGTCCAAGTGAAGTCACGAGTCATTGGTGTTAAAGTTAAGTCAAGTCTTCTTTGATTTTGTCGAGTCTAAAGTCATCATTTTTGTGACTCGAGTCTGACTTGAGTCCAAGTCATGTGACTCGAGTCACTCCTGTCGCAGCAGTCAATGTCAACGGAGTAAAATCTGACCTGTTCTCTCCTGCGTGCAGAATCCGTCAAGTTTGCCCGCTACTCCATCGCTATTTGCCATCGCTGTAGAGCCCTTGGCCATCTGGCTCCGTGAGGAGGAGGGATTTAGTGGTAACACTCGGTTCGGTCTGTCACATAAGCTTTCCCTGTACGCAGACAACCTTCTGCTTTACCTTTCAGATCTGTCATCCTCTCTTCCCATTATCTTAAACATCCTGGATCAGTTTCAAATACTTTCCGGCTACAAGCTCAACCTTGGGAAAAGCTAAATACCTCCCCATTAATTCACCTGCTGAGGGGCTCTGAGGGGATCTTCATCACCAAATCGACCACTGAGTTTTTTGTTAGAAATTTTTGCCCATTATTAGACCGCTGTAAATCAGACCTGGCCAGATGGTCCTCCATTCCTCTCTCTAATGGGATGTGTTAACTTGATAAAAATGGTGGTGCTACCACAGTTATATGCTTTTCAACATATTCCAATATTAATCAATAAATCTTTCTTCTCCACACTTGATCAAATGATAAACTCGTTTCTATGGGGTAACAGACGTGCACGTATTAAAAGATCGGTCCTTCAACTCCCCAGATCTGAAGGTGGCCTGAAGGTGGCCTGTCAACGTCTTTTCTGGAACACTAAATTGGCACCAGGTAAACAGCCTCAGTGGGCTTTGATGGAAACAGGCTCTTTCTGCATTTCACTTTGGTTGGTAGTTTGCTCCCAGTTACCTCTCAATTCAGTAAACAGTTTGGTCTACACACCCCATCTGGACTAGCGCCTGTCTTTCGTAACCACCTATTCTCACCCTCCTGTTCGGATCCAGTTTTTCAGATTTGGTCACATAGGGGCCTCCAGTCCATTAATGATTTGTACACTAACTGTATCTTTACCTCATTTGTGGACCTGTCAGTAAAACTCAGCTTGCCAAATAACAATCTATAACGCTTTTTTCAAATTCGTCACTTCGTACAAAATCAATTTCCCCATTTCCCCAACCGCCCCCCAGACTCCATGATGGACTTTTTCCTGACACTTGACACTAACGGAAGGGGGATCACCTCAGTTATATATAATTACAGTATATTTTTAATATACATCCAGTATGCTTGGACTCCTGAGGGCCGTCTGGGACCAGGACCTCAGGATGACTATGTCGGATGAGCAATGGAGTCACATACTGCACCTCATACACACTTCCTCGATATGCGTGTACTTCTACAACACAACACAAACTGCAGCACATGCTTTATTGTAAGCATGTGCAAAAGTGTCCTTATAATAAATTTGTTTAACTAAGCTGAGCTAAACGTGCACGCAAGTATCCAATGATTTGAAATAATATGACTTTGTTCTGGCCCGCCATATAACGGCTTGAAAAAACTGCCAGACGTATTTGCCGACCCCTGGCATAGACTGTAAAAGGTTGCTGGTCAAAAACATCAGACCAATATCTTTGCTACCGGGGCTGCAGTAGCTTCAACATCAGCTGCAGTACCCGACGTAGTGCAGGCACAGACACTTGAAGGAGTGAAGGAGAGTCACGGCTACTGCTAAGCAGAGGAGGAGGTGTGTGTTAGCGAACACTGTAACTGAGTGAGCAGGAGAAGAGTAGAGCTGAAGCGGTAAGCATGGAGTAGCTCAACCTGTAGGAAGGAAGCAGGGAGATCATAGGGTCATAGTGTCATTTACACTGGGGACGCTGGGGACATGTATATCATGTATCATGCATCATTTTTTTGAACTGGCTTGTCTCCTGGTAGCGCCTCCATGCTCTGGACACTACGCTGACAGACACAGCAAACCTTCTTGCCACAGCTCACATTGATGTGCCATCCTGGATGAGCTGCACTACCTGAGCCACTTGTGTGGGTTGTAGACTCCGTCTCATGCTACCACTAGAGTGAAAGCACCGCCAGCATTCAAAAGTGACCAAAACATCAGCCAGGAAGCATAGGAACTGAGAAGTGGTCTGTGGTCACCACCTGCAGAGCCACTCCTTTATTGGGGGTGTCTTGCTAATTGCCTATAATTTCCACCTGTTGTCTATTCCATTTGCACAACAGCATGTGAAATTGATTGTCAGTCAGTGTTGCTTCCTAAGTGGACAGTTTGATTTCACAGGGGTGTGACAGACTTGGAGTTACATTGTGTTGTTTAAGTGTTCCCTTTATTTTTTTTGAGCAGTGTATTTATGGCCCTAATTGGGACAATAAGGCCTTTTTCCAGTTAGTACCCTAAATCAACCAACATGCCCTCGTATCTCCCCATACTTGCAGGTGACTTTAACTGTTGGATGAAGCCAACATTAGATCGTTCCTCCACTAGAAATGTTGCAATTTCAAAATCAACCAAAGCCATATACTTTATGGATGAATTTTCCATGTCAGATCTCTGGCGCCTTTTCAACCTTTCAGGGAGAGCATATTCCTTTTTTTCCAATGTGCATCACACATTTACACGGATTGACCACTTTCTGTTGGATAACCATCTCTTATCGTCAGTACACTCCTGTTTTTATGATGCTATTGTAATTTCAGATCATGCTCCTGTTATTTTGGAAATTCAATTTGAGGACTACAGTGCTGCGCGTCCTCC